TAACTCTATTAAAATTATGAGTCTTAATTCATTTTTTTATTATTAATTAATTTTATAAACTCATAAACCATTTCAATACATATTCTATAACAACAATCAATATTCAAATTATAATCAGGTATTTCTTTAGATCTATAATTTCTTTAATTTACAGAACCTTAGAAACATATTATATTGAAATATAATTCCACTTTTCTATTTTTATTTATATTTTGAACTATAATTACATTCAAAATCTTTCTTATAAAATTACCCATTAATTCTGGTTAATAATGAGACGAATAAAGAATGATTTAAAAGTAAAAATATTCTATTTAAAGTTAGAAACATTTATCCATAACCTTAATTATTATATTCAAATATAGTCTTTTAATTTTTAGAACTTTGTCCTTCATTTTAAAGTAAGCAAAAAAGATCCTTGCTAGCAATGCTCATGGCTAACTCTATGCCTTTAAATGATAAAATAGGTTATGCACAGAATAAAAAATTACTGAAGAACATCATTTATTCTCAATCATGATTCCAATTAAATATAAAGGTCCACATGTAAAAAAATATTTGCAGCTCTAGCCGAAGGTAATAATATGATTCACAGTAATAAGATATATATTTGTTGAATAATATCTTGTTTCTAATTCTTAGTAACTGGGCTAAAGAATATTTCGTATTTTCATCTAGTAAATACAAAAGTAATGATACCTACTGAAAGGTGAGAATTAATAGCCCTAAAGGGAATGGAGGAATTAGAAAAAATGATTTCGGTTTCTAAATTTTTCATAAACCTCAAACAAAGAACGAAGAAAAAAATGAATTCCACCGACCATCATCGAAATTGAATAGGAAATGGGAAAACTATCCTAATAATAACAAAAACAAATATGAGAAAATGTTCATATTTTTGAATAATTTGATTTTTATAGGATTTCTTTTAATTCAATTACGTATTTTTAGCAGGAGGGGTATATCTTCTTACTGGTAGAACTAGTGATTCATATATCATGTTAATCTACAAGTTGAAATAAGAACAATCATTTTTTGGAGGGAAATATGTTTATTTTAAAAATTAGTTGGATTTTATTGTTATTTTTTAAAAATAACCTCCCTTTTTGTATTGCTAGAATTATATTAATAATTTGAGTAAGGCTTCAATTCAAATTGAGATATTTGAAAAATTATGAACTTAAGTATTAGTTGGTTTTAAAAATATTCTGCCAAATTTTTATTATTATTTGAACCTTCTTTTGTACTTAAAAATTAGAGGAAATGTTTCCAAATCTAATAATGAATGTAGCATCGCCCATGATTAATATTAATAATATTAATTAAAGCTAGCCCAAATTTTCCACTATGGATTAGATTTAAGTCATATTAGTGAAAGAGTCTTTCGAAAATGATTGTACAGAGATTAGGTTTCTAGTCAATAACCAAGAGATTTTGCCAAAAATAAGCATCAAATTAACAGAAAATTATTCTGAGGAATTTTCATCTGCTCTATATTAACATCTATCTAATCATGTTAAGAAGGAGTGTCGCTATCTATACTTTGTAAGTTAATGATAAACTATTAATTTCATAGAACGAACCTTTGGAATGCATGAAACAGAAGAGGTTCAATTTGATCTCTCAATTAGGAGTAGATGTTATACTAAAATTATTAAACTTAAATTTTATACCAATAATTCGAACTAATTATTCTCGTTATATCCTTGACGACGTAGTTTTTATCACTTAGCCTTTTCAGAAGGGGAGAAAATCAGCAATTGAGAGGCTGAATTAGAATTGGGAAACATAATGCAGATTGAAATCTAAAATCACAAAAGAATTCATTTAAATCATTGAAGAATTCAAATTTTACTACCGTATAGATATACTAATCACATCGAACTTAAAGCCAATAAAATAGGAGAAATATTCAGAATATGATGTTCTTTATGTACCTACAGAAGAGTTGATATTTTTAAAAACCAATTAAAAATAATAATTATCGCTCTTATTTCAGAATTTAGAGCAAATAATTAAATAATACTAANCAAGTTGAAATAAGAACAATCATTTTTTGGAGGGAAATATGTTTATTTTAAAAATTAGTTGGCAAAGATGTCTAATTTTCAGCTTTTAGGTAAAGATCTCATTGACTCCTATACTAATATCCTATTGATTATTGAGCCATGCTATTAATTAATAGTATAAAATATTGTCAACTTTTTTTTTGAGGGGCAAAACTTTTTGAATTTCTTGATTTG